CCCCAAAACCCCAAAACCCCAAAACCCCAAAACCCCTCTTAAATTTAAAGCCATTGATTTTAATGAACAATCCAACCCTCCAAAACTCCTCATTATGAAACAACCCATAATCATAACACTAAAAACTCCCCAAAAAGTACAGAACACCAAGAAATAGGTCAATTTCGAAGCTATCATCAGCTACACCTCTCTAAATCTCGTTTCTCATAAAAATCTTCACCATTTAAATCCAAATTTTTACTTTTGTTCCTATCCTTCTCAACTCCTAAAACTCCTACGCCCAAATTGCCACTGTCCACTGCTTCTCTTCGTAAAAGATAGAATCCTCGACTACGGCTAAAGCTGAGTTAATATTTTAATATCTAGTATCCAAAACTGAAATTTATGACATTCATAACATTTATAACATTCATACCTCCTATCCTATTTCTAAAGTACCATTCAATACTCCACCAATAACTTACCACAAAATTTCTCTCACCAAAAATACTCTTCCTCCCCCAACCTCCCCCAACCTCCCCCTTCACCTCTCAAAAACCACCCTCAAAACCCACCTCAAACCCTAATTTTAAACAAATTCTACTCCCCCACCCTTCCTAAATCCCTCCCAACCCCCACCTTTTCCCCATCCCCACTAGCCATCCAGTTCATCACTCCCACCCAAAAGTCCCCAAATCCCTTAACAACTGGCCAATCAGGCCTAAAAAGCTACTATAAAGTTAGCGTAACGACAAGAATTGTGGAAGAATAATAGGTGGATTTTAGAAGATAGATTAAGGGCCTTCTTTGGGGTGGCTGGGTTGGTTGGGTTGACTGGGTTGGCTGGGTTGTTCTTCTTGGGGGTCATCGTAGGCATTTTCTGGGTTGAGGAATACTAGAGGTTAGGGGTGAGGTACTTTGGTTGGTGTCGTTGGCTGATTGGGGTTGGTGGTGGAGAGAGATGGGTGGATGTTGTGAGGGGCTTTGGTCTGAGAAGCCTCTTGAGAGATTTAGGGATTCGTTTGGATGGTTGCCTTGCTTTTTCTTTTGAATGGAGTTGTTTAAGCTTTCAGCAGCTGCCAATGCTAGCTTTTGGTTTTCAGTTTCTTGTTTTTTCTCTTCTTTTCCCTTATTTTCTTGCTGATCATTTTGTTCATCTTCTTTTCTTTTACGGTTTATATATGAGTGCTTTCATAGTCTTCCATCTTCCCCGCAGTAAGAGCAAAGATTTCTTCTGCCTAGCATGAGAGCTCTGAATTGTTGACGGATGCAATAGCAAGAGTAAACTGTTCCAACTGGAATTAGGGACATAAAAATGATCACAAAACCAAATGGATTCATGCAGATACAATAGCCAACAATTCAAAGGCTGTCCTCACTTGGCTTTTCCCATAACGATACGCTACAGGCTACAAAGAATCCTATCCAGATAGCGAGAAGGATCAGGTCTCCCAACAAAAAGCTGTCGTGTTCGCTTGTCCTAAGCACGAGAACAGCAACGATTCCAGAAATTCCTCAGATGAACATGACACCCCAGTGGTACAAGTGGGGAAGCCACATTACCACTTTATGATTTTGGCAGCTTTTATCCATGACTCTGATCACAACCACCATACCATCAACTAAAATACCAAAGAACATAGACAGGAGTATTTTGGCCACTCCCCCGTATTCAATTTTCTGAACTCGGGCTGTCCATACTGCTATCCAAATAAATATTGTAATAAACATCGTCAGCACCAACAAGTACTGATTTCTAGCAATAGCTGAGAGTATCTTATAAACTCTTGGATAAATATAACTCTCTTTATATTTTTTCTCAATTTTGATCTGCTTCTCTCTGTACTCCTCCAGTTTGTTCACGTCTTCAAAAGTAGCTAAATCTTTGTCCATTGCTATTTCGATCAAGACTGCTTCAATAGCTTGTCTCTCTTCCGCAGTCTGGGGATCATGTTGTTCGTCTTTGGAGTCTTCTTTATGTCCGTTTTCGAGGTCGAGTGAGAGAGGGGGTTGGGCGTGGCTGGGGTCTTGGAGTTTGGAAGTTTTGGACATAGGGTTATTTTGGAAATTTTAAACAAAAGTTTCATTTTATTAGGTTTTAGGGGTTTTGGGGTTTTGGGGTTTTGGGGTTTTGGGG